TGGTTCTGTCCGATGGTTTCTCCGTACGATACATCGTATTTTGCCTTTCCAGTGGTGTATTGTCGGATGTAATTTAGGAACTCTGCCGTAGTCGCCGGCATCCAGATATCCAGAGCTTCCCGTAGTTTGGGTTCGAGGATGTTCTCCTTTAGGTAGTGGACCGCCATTACGTCGGTGATGGATGGGACTCGGGACTTGATACTCATCATGGCATCGTAGTACTGTTCCGGCGTCTCTTGTCCGAAACGGTATTTCCGCTTAGCCATCGTTGCTAAAGCGTTAATCTCCTTATTTTTGTCCGCGAACCGCTCCTCGAATTTCGCAAGCCACAGATTTACTGGCCATCCGCCAAGTGGTTCGTCGGCTGCAGCCAGTCTGTGCCATTCTTCAGCCTGTCCTTTGAGTTGGGCAGCAAGGTCGGTCATAAAGCGGATATCCGACTCAAACCATTCCTGGGCCTCGGCGTGTAGGCGACGGATCTGTTTCATCCAACCATCAAGTTTGGTGTGGTCGCCGTCGAAGTCCGGGAGGGGTTGTCTACGTCCGCGGGCACATGCTCGTATCATTGTTCGTGTTAGCTGATCGCTGGGCCGTCCCTCTCCCTCCTGATTGGGCGCGTGTCCAGCCTCCGGATGCTGAGGGTGTTGAGGTGCCACTGGTGCATTCTGTTGTACATCCAGGGCGGGCGGTGGGTTGGCGTTTGGTATCCGACCTTGTTGGTCCGGATAACCTGCCAGATAACGAGCCGGTTCTAGTTGACCATCGTGTCCGTTCGCTTGCGGAGGTGATACTTGAGCTGATTGTGGTGGCTCCGGATAGAATCCCTCAGGTAGGTTGGGGACTCTTCCGTATAGGCCAGGTTGCAACTCAAGTGGAGTCTGTCGACCTTCTGTGGGTCGATATAGCTGCACCCGGCTGTGTTGTTCCGGGTAGCCGGCCGGATAATGAGCCGGATCAGGTTGGCCACCATACCCGCCTAGTTGCGGGTCGGCCATGTTGTATGACCGAGTCCGTGCTCTCTGAAGGTTGAACTCCGGTTGGTTCAGACATTTCGGATCGTCTATGTAAAGGGGGGAACTTGTTCGTTCCATCTGTGGACTGGTTTCTCCGGCGGCTGCGTGGAGCGCGGACGGGTAAGAGGCCGGGTAATGCGGCTGTGGTGCTGTTGACCACGGCACCGACGTGTTAGTCGGCGTGATGACCCATCCTTCGGGTGATGTTCCGTCGAAGGTCACATATTTGGTCGGCTGTGGCTGCTTATGTGGCGCCACCGTTGCCGGTCCGTGGTTCGTTGGACACTGAACTACCGGTCCGGTAGGTACCTGTAGCGGCAGTTCAATTGGCCGGTTCGCATCCGTCGAGGGTGGTTCCGACCGATGGTGCTCCAGATCGGAGATCCGCCGGTTTAGCGCATCGACAGCCTGCAGAGTTACGGTGTGGTTCTTCTGCAGTGTGCCGACGGCTTGCAAGGTTTCGTCCTGACTCCTTTGTAGTTGGAGCAGAAGGCCAGCAATCTGTTGGTAGAGCGGAGCGTTCTGTTCGCGCTCCTCAGCCGGGTAGAGTTGGCTGTCCTGACCACTTCCGTACCTGCGGTCCGGCTTCATGTTGCCGTCCTCTGGGCCGCCGTAAGACTGTACGGTTAGCGCTGATGGATTCTCCATCCGCCGTTCCGGGGTTCTGTATGCGATCTGCCGGTCGACCACAGTCAGTGGTGCTGTCGACCGCGTCAGATGCGCCGTGTCATAGTTGGGCCGGGTTGGTGCCGCGTAACCGCCTTCGTTGACGACCGGGACCAAGCCGTTCTCGTAGGTGTCCTGGAGGCCGCTGTCGTATGCGGTGAATCCGGTCGGTGAAATGCGCTGGTCGCGCGCTCCCGGTACCTCCGTTCGCCTAAGTGGGCTCGCGGATGGCACCTGACGACCGACTGGGCTGGCATGTTGGATGCTGTATCCGCCCGCCTTGAGTGGCTCAGGTTGGTGAGCATAGGCGTTGTTGACCAAAGCGGCCATTCTGACAGTCAGCTGGTAATGGCCGGGTATTTGTTTACCTCGGCCGAGACAAACGGACGTTAATCCCTTTTGTGGGGATGTCCGTTGACACCAGGTCCCTTTTGTTAAGGAAGCCGGCGGTCTGCACAGGTCGGTTGGACTATGTCCCAAGTGGGGATGTCCGTTTGGATCCGATGATGTACAGCACCGTCAAGGCGTGAAAGGCATGAGCGTTCTCGCTTCAGCCAATCAATCGGACAATCCCTTATGTGGGGCTTTCCGATGAGAGCAGGAACTTTTTTCGGTACAGGTACTTCCGTGTGTCCGGTAGATGTGGGCGAATGTTCTTGATGACGTAATCCTGTGTGTGACTCAGTATGGGTTACAATACAGTACTATATTACAGTACAGTGCTATGTTACAGTACAGTACTATACTACAGTAAAGCAAGGTGGTACGGTTCTACGTACGTCCTATACTACTGCCAATGACCGGTCTGACGTCACACGAAATGGTCTTGCAGTTAGCTGCCTACGTCACGACGTTAGTGCCGTGCGCACAAAAGGCGTAAACAAGTATGACTCACTACGACGGTCACTATGTTATAAGTATGGGGACTTTCCCAGAGCTCTGATTGGTCGGCTCTAAAGTACTGAAAGTAAGTCCTTCTGACGTCACACAGAAAATCGAAAATTTTCGCGCTAATTTTAAGCGGAAAAACAAGTTATTTTTGGTCGGCCAGAGTTGTTATCTGGTCGAAATTTTAAGTTTTAAGCCGTTAGAAATTAATTTTAAGAATTTAGGAATTTTTCTGACGGTGGGAAATCCGTCGAAAATGAAAATAAAGAAAATGACCGACCTCTGGTCGGTTAGCCCGAAGTGGTCGGTTAGTCCAAAAAAAAGAGGTCGGTGAAAGTAAGCTTTTAAGTCTGTTTCTCCGACGAAAATTTATTTTTATCCGTTAAAACGTTGCTTTTAACCGTTAAAAATTAATGTTAACCGTCAAAAACTAGGAATTCGACCTAGTTTCGACCTGTGACCACGACTTTACCGGTTTGTTACGGGTCCTTGGAGGTCGGTTATCCACTGTTGGGAGGTCGGTTATCCGCTGTTGGGAGGTCGGTGATCCGCCGTTTCTCGGTCGGAATCCGCCGTTAAAGTTGCGGGTCGCCGTTCAAGGCGAAGGTCCCCGTATTAATGGAGTAATCCTATCGCGCTGCAGGCTATCGTAGCGAGCCTGGTCCGTCAACGTCCCGTACGGTCGGGGAAAAAAACTGTCCGATCTTCTTATGTGGAAGAGTTAAGGAACTGATGCTCACCGATTGCGGCAGGGATCGCTTCTGCGGTCAACCTGTACTTCCACAATCGTAAGACGGCAAGATCTGTCTGATCAGCGGTCGAAGTAGAGGCTGCGTTTGCAGTCTATCTGACTTTCAACCGTAGGTTCCTCAGGTTCTCCGAAAAATGCCTTTACCGTCTCCTCAAAGGGTCCGGTGGATCGAAAAGCCAAACGATCTGCTTACCATGTGACAGGCAAGCGCAGGGGACTCACAGTGAGCTTTATTGACAGATAAAGGGAGCAAATACCGCGTGATTGCGGGAGAGGAAGAACCAAGAGCCAATGTCTGGCCAAGCAAAATCAGCACGTCAAGTTGCTGAGAGCAAGTTCTAGAGCGTAATGAAATGTAGAGAGAGAAGTGCTGGCGGCAACGTCGTGCTGTCCAGACATGTGGAATGTGATGCGCAGACTGGACTCGTATCCAACGCGAGCGTATAAGCGCTGAGTCATACAGCGAGAGAGGAACGAGAGAGCAAGTATGCTCAGTGAGTGCGCCCGCGGTGGATCCGCTAGGCGGTGAGTGCAGTGCAGCCACTCACGTACGTACAAGAGAGGGCGAATCAGCATGTGTGCGTTGGTACGCATACGCAAAGTGGCGTATCTACCACGCAGGCTGTCGTGCCTCTAACATTATGTTGTTGCAGACTTGCAGATACGGAAATTTAGTTGATAGGTTCGTATTTACTGCGCATTTTTACCAGCTGTAACAACGAGAGAGAAAAAATAACTATATTCAGCAAAAACCGATACACGTAAAAAATGCTTGCGCCGGGATACTAATTAAAACGATAAGAGTTTAAACACTGAAATAACAGTCAAAATCGATATCCGTGGTCTTGGAATGCAATTTTGGTGGTTCACAGAACGGCTGTTGCATTCCCCCTAAATAAGAAAAAAATGCAACTACGGGGAAAAGCAGTTGCGATCGCACAGAGACGTCACTGGAGAGTATGCATTTTGTGTGCCAAGAAATTTGAGATTTCTTTAAAGATTCTTGTTTCTAAGAAATTTTAGGGTAGCGCTGATGTCAAACAAATTCCCCAAGCATGCTTTTGATTTACCGAGCAAAAAAAAACATGTCTGCTCGGTAAATATGCTCGGTAATAAATATACTTTTCATCGCTTAATACTCGTATCTCGAGTAACATTTGTTTTGCGTTTTACCATGTTTTGCGATACGTTAGAAGGTTAACGCAACACGTTGCAAGGGTTGACTTAGTTCGCACAAAAACTGAAAAAATCTGCCGATCGCGGCAGTCGAAACTCGAACCCGCGCCACCATGATCAACAGGCCGGCATGGCTAGCTACCACTGGGTCATCGACAAAGCATACAAGTTGTTTTGAAAGATTTTACCGCACGAATCTGTAGAGAGAGGCAGCCTCTGGACATTTGTGAGACTCTGACAACTTGACACGTCATCAGTTCAAGTGGTCATATATATGGTTGCTGGTGCAGCGTGGACTGTGGACACGCCGGCACGGTCTTGCGGCCACAGCTTGTTTTATAACGAACTGCATGTTAGTTAGGTATTTTATCACACTTTCTATTTCGACCGATATATTTTCGTTTTGGATCAGGAGCTCCAGATTCTTAGCTCCTCTTTAATTTTCACCAGCCATTCAAAAACTCATTTCATTTAATCGGCTCTCCTGCGGCAATCAATCCTAAAAAATGCCGAAGCGCTGCCGATCAGCCAGCCCTACGGATTATGGAGTTTATCCTTCCCGAGCCTCTCTGTCCGCCGGGTTTGTGCGCGGAATGTATGAGCTGCAGAAGACGGGGAGCTTCTGTGACGTTGTACTGAAGGGCAGTGAAGAATCTTCTGTCGGTATTCCCTGTCATCGCAGTGTTCTCACCGTGCACAGCGAATACTTTCGGGCGGCCTTCTCGCAGGACTGGAAGGAGTCCACTCAGCAAGTATATCGGCTGCGCAACATCGACAGCCAAACACTGAACGAGTGAGTATCTCACAACGGCATGTATCCCCGCGCTAGAGGGCCAGATACCGGGTCCAGTGGGCGGAGGGGGGCCTTGTATATTTATTATTTTTCGAAATGACAAAACAGTTTTCTGACAAAAAATTTTGCATTTTATCAGGTTTTCTCTCGGAACTTCTATGTTTGTAAATTTTCACCTTTCTTTTTCATTTTCTTCCCTTTCTTAGCGCTCTTTCAATTTTTCCAGTTTTAAAAATTTTTACAATTTTTACAATTTTGCCGGCTCGTCGGATTTCCAAGATTTTGTAGGCTTTTGGCCTACTAATACGATAGCTACAGTATATGCCGTACACCGCACACAACTGCCCAATAATAATACACTTTTATTAATAACATCCACTCTACCGCCATACAGTTATACCGGCGGATTTATAAATGTGCTGCTCCGGCGCGTTGAGCGCGCCCAGAGCAAAATACTTGCCAGAGTTGTATAACGCTAGCAGATAAACAACACCAACGCCACACATTATACCACACCTAACGAGTGTGGTTTACTACAATTTGGCTTTAACCTTTACTCCTGTGGGCTTCGCCACACAATGCGTACGTTCGTTGATGCGTACGTTCTTCGTTCTGTATCTGTAATTGTGTAACGTTCGTTCTTCGGCCAACGTGTTGTGCAACACGTTGGCCTTGCTTGTATGTTATGCGTTTAGAGAGCTATATAAAGGCCCGCTTCTGCTTGCAGAGGGGGTGGTGCAGTCGAGTAGGTTTCCCATTGTATGGTATAAGTCATATAGTGTATGCCTTTATGGGCCAGCTCCCACACTGGTAGCAGAGCGTGGTTCCGGTCTTATGTGATTTTATAAAGTTTTTTTTAAACCAACGGGAGCTGGCCCAAATCACTTATCTCACTTTTTATTATCATCATTCTGCCTTAATTTTCTTTCCAATTCCATTCGAATATTATCATTCTCGATGCCTTATGAAGATACCCGGATGACTTATAAAAACACCGCCTGTTTTCTCCCTTCCGCAATGGCCCATTCAACTTGTGACCTTTCTTGATTAGTAAACAGGCTCAGTATGTGAGTGCATGAAGTAGCTCTGCCCTAAACTCATTTATTATATTTTGTTACGATCAAGGTAAAGCAGTATTGACTGTTCAACACAACGAAATTTATTTGCATCATCTAACTTTTGCCCAGTCAAAGCAGTAATAAACTATGTATGCCCGAAATAAATATGTCTCAAGTTTACCTCTTCAAATATAAGCAGTTTGTTAGAGTTTATGCATTCTGAAATTACATTTTGCTTGCCCGTAATAAATTTCGACTTGTTCATTAATTTTATGTGCCCTAAATACTCGCTTATTATAAGCTAAAATACAAAGATTTTGGCCAATTTTCTTCTTGCCGGCTTAAATGAATTTATCCATGTAATATGTTAAGCGCGCGAATTTATTGACGCAATGAAGTGCTTCGTCCGAATTTGAATGAAGAAATTTTTCAAGATAGTCGGGTTTAAAACCTGCCATTTACATGGCAATTTTATCAATATTAACGGGAGCTTTGTGCTGTTGTCCCACTGTTAGCGAAACGCAAGGCGTGGGACCCTTGCACGTTAACAAACAACACAAATTGCGACCACAAAAATAAATCGAGATTCATGAAATCACGTGATAATTTTGTTACAGAGATTAATTCCATTTGTAGTCAATAAAATTGCTGTTATTTTTGTCAAACAGAAGATGGGTTGATTTTGATTTCCCCACACTTTGATTTGCTGATGCTTAATCTCATATCAGTTAAAAGGAAATTTTTTATAACATGGCGCAGGATGTATGGAATAAATCGGGCACTATTTTCAAAGACGGGGTCAATACTGTTTTTGCAAAAATTTTAAATTTTGCGCAGTTCACATTACTAATTACAGTTTTAATGGGCATGACATTATCAAAATGTAGGCGATATTTCACTCTTTTGAAAATAAAACCAGAGCAGATTCGATGCGACTGAGGCCGTAAAATCTGTCATTACTAGCAAAATTTATGCGAGTTCGAATTTTCGTGAATTGTTACATAAGGAAGCTATACTTGCTTATGTATACTTGCTTATGACATCCAACTCGAACAATTAGGTTCATTAAACGACAACAGTTATAACGATCGTTGACTATACTATACTATAAGCATATAATTTTTTCTAATTGTCTTGTAATTTTTTTATTTGTTCAAGTGCTAAGTATAGGTACGTCCGTTTGCATCATAATAGTGTCCGTAGTACATATTACATACATATATAATGCAACACTTCATACCAATCATTCTGCCAACTCTCTTGTGAATGTAATTTGCTCTCAGAATAAACGAACACTGCCAAATTTCGGCCTTATTGCATAAGTGCCTGACGGACATTACAGTCTTAAGCAATTTAGGTTACATAACAAAAGCATTGTGGAAGTAAAACGTCGTTATGTCATATGTTTGTTCGTTCGACAAAACAGCTTTATTAGTTAACTTCGTTATGTCATATATCATGTGTTTGTTCGTTTGACAAAACATTTCTTATTAGTTAACTATGTCATGAGCCAGCGCGATCCATAATCAGTTATCTAATTTTATTACATAGTTACCCAGAAGTTATGCAACAGCTTGTTTGATGGTACTTGTTCGGTCCCTTGCAACTTGAATTATGTCAGTAAACACCCAACGTCAACGGACGCGGTAGTCCATATAAAACAACGTGGTTTTGCCACGGACGAAAAGTTTCTTATCAGTGCAAGAATTGTCTAATGCCAACTTAGTTGACCTTTACACAAAAGTCTCAATACATACAGGCAGGTACTTACAGGTAAATTAGGCCTTTTCACAATCATGACTCAGTGCTTTAACTGTGGTCGGTGGGGTCATCGCTATGCTGATTGTCCATTCCCACGTTGCTGCTTTAACTGTCACAGCGCAGCGCACATCGCTCAGGAATGTGACCTCGATCCTCAAGAATACGATAGCGACGATCGTGGCAATACACAGAAGTGCGAGAATTGCTTAAATTGCGGTGGTTGGGGACACCATTTTGCGGTCTGTCCATCCCCCCGCACCTGCTTCAGTTGTCACAACGAAGGTCACGAAGCAAGCCAGTGTACTATTGATCCCAGTAACTACGATACGTACGAAAACGATGATGAGGAAAACAATTACGATAGCCACGCCAAAGAGCCAATTTATGGATCCGATCACTATTATTTTTGCCCCAGTTGCAACAATCCCAGCTTGGAAATTTCAGATGCATGTATTGAGGAAATTCGATGTAAGCGTTGCCAATTTTATGCACATGATTTGAGCCTATGCGAATGCACACAGTAATTGGACGCAATGGTAAGTCGGACAAGCGCATTTGGTAATACTGTTTTTGAAAAATGTATAAAAAATCAAATTCGTATTTTAATAATTCCGCATTATTTAATTGAAGCAACACACTCAATAAAACTAAACAAAAACGCGATGCATTATATTTTATTTTGATAAAAAGATCCACACGCTGGTTAAAATTATTATGACATTATTTTGTCCCGTGCCATTTATTACATTGCAGCCAAAAGATCGCATTAGCGACATATTTATTTTTCTCCTAGTAAAAGATCACAATAGTGACATATTTCCTATTACATCAAATGAAAAGATCGCATGAAGCGACAAATAAAAATTTACTCTACTTTAAAAGATCGCACGAAGCGACAGTTAATTGTTTCCGTTCAACAAAAGATCGCACGAAGCGACAAGTTAAAGTTTCCTTTAATGACAAGATCGCACGAAGCGACATTTAATTGTTTTCGTTCAACAAAAGATCGCATGAAGCGACAAGTTAAAGTTTCCTCTACTTACAAAATCGCCGAAGCGACATTCAATTGGTTTTCGTTCAGCAAAAGATCGCGTAAAGCGACAAGAAAATAATTTTTTTTTACTTTATAAGGATCACGCCAAGCGACAATAACATGTTGTTTTAGTCTGAACTGAAAATCGTGTAAAGCGATTGTTAAGGTTTTTCCATTCAAGAAGTGGCAACTAGCAACACTTAAGTTTTAAGTTTCAAAAAGATCGCATGAAGCGACACGTAAAATTTGTTTTATTTAAAAAAGATCGCAGGAAGCGGCAAGTAATTTTGCATCATTCAAAAAGATCGCTTAAAGCGACAATTAGGATTTTTGTACTCAAGAGATCGCAACTAGCGACACTTAATTTTACGATTCAAAAGATCGCAGGAAGCGACAATTAATTTTTCAGCATTCAAAAAAGATCGCATACGCGACAGAATTTTCGATGCCTTTGAATAATTACCGGCAGAGATGGTATACAATCATTTTTCACTCTGACTGTGAGCGCTTCACAGCGCCTTTTTCTATGCTCTGGTTTTGGTTCTGCTGTTCCGATTTTTCTTTTGTACGATTTCTTATTACTGTCAGCGCTTTACACATTTCTGATTACTGTCAGTCAACTACCGTTCAACTGTACTCGACCGCATGTACAACTTCATCCAACAAGACCGTCGATTCAATTTTAACCTGCTTGTTCACACCGGTTAAAATCACTGCAATCAAACAACTACTGAAATGCTAGTTTAACCAACCCCCATTTATGCCATCCATACGAATAGCAGATCAGAGCCTGTCTAAAGCAAGCCACTGTCCGAGCTGATTATCTCCGAGCTTGCTCTTCTTGGTTTTTCAATCGCCCCAGGCAGTAAGAATTTCATCGCTTTCTGCGCACTACTGGACCGCACTTCTATTTCGATCATAACAAAAATGGATCATCACCGTCCACCTATGATTTACTGCAGTGCTGACTTTCAATTTATAATATTAGATATCGATATCGCCGACAGTAATCTACGAATAACATACGAAACGGAAGCGTTGCCTGTTGACTTTATCAACAATCGCTATTCCTGCCAAAATTGTCGCTACTCTACTCAGTCCGCGATCGCCATCTTTACACATACATTTCGACGATACATCTTACCTGCTATCCTAAGCCGGGATTTACTCCGAATCATTCGCCAACGATATACCGCACGCGCCGTGCGCGAGCATAACCGGGAATACGATGCGGCTCACCCGTAGAAGAAGATGCATGTGGCTTACGCCCCCAGCTACACTGCGACGCCAGCGCAGACAACGGAAATATAAACGCCAAGCAATTTTGGACTGGATTCCATTTCCAGTCGCTTTACCGACAACTACAATAGCTACAACAACAAGAATGTTAATTCCAACACCGTCACAGCTGACCGAATCCGCGATGACACTTACAACGGTAACCCTAACACATCAACAATCAACGTCGTCAGCCCTCTCAGTGGACCCAGTACCGACTTATCAACCGAAAGAAAATCAAAAGGAATGTCCGGTCTGTTATTGGGACTTCAATCGCAAAAAGAAATTGCTTACGACTGTGGAATTGCGTTGCGGTCACGCAATATGTTCACGATGCCTTGGAAAAATATTCCAAACATACACAGATGACCTCCGGATTGATTACTCTCTTGGACTCGTACCACAACAAAGACCATGTTGTCCAGTATGTCGCAAGAGCATCCGCCCGGAGCGGAGTCGTTTTATCTAATGATAATTTCCGTTCTAAAGTATCTCTACCTATCGTTCTTTAAAACAAATTTGAAAATCTTAGTTAGTGCATGTTGGTGCTCTTTTTCTAGACGTTCTTCAGTTGTCTGTTTTCTCCTTTGGTTTTGGTTTTCTCTAGACTATATCTACATGTTGTTTTTCCAACACGGAGGGAAGTGTGGGCTTCGCCACACAATGCGTACGTTCGTTGATGCGTACGTTCTTCGTTCTGTATCTGTAATTGTGTAACGTTCGTTCTTCGGCCAACGTGTTGTGCAACACGTTGGCCTTGCTTGTATGTTATGCGTTTAGAGAGCTATATAAAGGCCCGCTTCTGCTTGCAGAGGGGGTGGTGCAGTCGAGTAGGTTTCCCATTGTATGGTATAAGTCATATAGTGTATGCCTTTATGGGCCAGCTCCCACACTCCGATAAGTCGCCCCCCGATAAAACGTCAGCGCGTAGCTGTTAACAGTAGAATACTTAACTGTTGAAAATCACGATACATCGATTACAGGTAGATTTCGATTAATTTCTTGTTTCTTTGCTTAAAACGGAACAAATATTGGGAAAATAAATTCAATATACTTTTATAAAAATTTAAATTCGATGCCGTTATGAACCACTTTCGTTAAATTATTCCAAACCTCAGCCTGCCACTCCTCAGAAAACCACCCGGAAGTAGCGATAATAATTTTACTGGAGGCCACAAAACAAAACCAACCAACATGGGAGTGGAGTCGCAGCCAATGTTAGCGGCGTGCAGAATCGTGACCTAATACTTGTAGTCCTATATTGTGCGCGACCTTTTGATTTGCTTTTAAGTGTTTTACGCGTAACTTTTGTTACTGATTCCGATAATGTTCCCGAGTGAGGACATAATAAACACAAAAAAGTCAGAAATACCTTGTGCAGCCATAGCTACAGCCTACCGGCCTTAGTCGTACGGCGATTTCTGAGCATGTGCACAGTATTTCTAATGTACAGATACAAGTTTCTCAGTACAGGAAAACATAAGGAAAAGAAAAGACATAAGAAAAACATAAGAAAACATAAGAAAAACAAAAGATAACACAAAAACATAAGATGACATACAATAGCCACATATATACCATAGATTGTTGTACAGTGCATATTATGCATTTTTCGAAAAGGTTTTTACTGAAGTCTGCTAGCGTTTTCCTCACTCAAGAAGCATAAAACTATAACTAAAAAGTATTTCTATGTAAGTTTCAACTAAAAACAGTCAAGTCTGTTACCCCTGGTGAAATACGATATCACCAAGGTGGACCTGTGTTCCTCGATTCTGGTAATCGTAATCATAGCTGTCTGGTGACCTTGCATTCCTTTCCAACCTGAACAGTCGCCAGCTGCTTTAGCGCCCTGAACAAACAATTTGACACCAAATAAAAACATTTTTTATACCAACATTAGTTTCGATGTCTGCATTTGATCGGAGATTCTCTCCTTTGCGAAACTCGTAGAGGGCAGGGCATTTGTGTAGATCCATAGTTTTAATCTCCAGTCAAAATCGTGCAGTTCTATGCTCACTCTTGGTTCTGCATTGCCCAGGTTAGTGGAGTTTGTCTACACACTGGATATTAGACTCAACGGCGACAACGTGGAGCGTATCCTGATTGCGGCGCAGTTCTTGCAGATGGTCGCGGTAGTCCGAATGAGTTGGGACTACGTAGAGAAGCATCTGCATCTGTCCAACTGCCTGTTGGTCCATGCTCTGGCCTCCAACTACCATAATCCCAATGTATGCGACGCCGCCTTGAGCTTTATCCGGCGATACTTCCTGGAATTTGTGGAGGGTCACGACTTTCTGCAGATGGACACGCAACAGGTACAGCCTGTGGCGGTGTTATACGCCATAGAAACGTTGTATCAGCCTGCTAGCTCTATCTGTTCGGTTTAGTGAAGCAGTCCAGAAAAGGCGTTCAGACCTTAAGATCGTTTAAGTCCAAGCTGAACGTTTCTTATGAACACAGTTGGACACTTTTGGAAAGTGGAAAAGATGAAGTATTTACAGCAATTTTTGTTTGCAGCTGATGCAGGTGATTGGATCCGATGTCTTGGACGTGGCAAGCGAGGATCTAGTGTTCCAGGCGGTGATGCGCTGGTGGGAATACGATCGTCCCGGCAGACTGGCGCACCTGCATACGCTACTGCAGACTGTCCGTGTGCCCTTTCTGAGTGTCCAGTGCCAGCAAGACTACGCTCTGGCCCTGACCAGTACGTCGATGGCGGTGCCGCAAAGCTCGGCTGAAGCAGTCGGGGAATCACCCGGCGAAGAGACGAAAGACACCATCCCACGACAGTCGTACAGTAAGCATTGCACGTGGTACTTCGTTAAATGGTTTTCAGATTGTGTACGCCTGCACGAGTATTGTTTATTGGTCATGTAAGTGAACATTGGTTAACAAAACAGCGTGTTGTCTACGTATAACTGAAAACCAAGCACTTCACAAAAACAAAACCATCGAGGACGGTCATGAGTTTCTAAATTTTTTAGGTACATACATAAGTATATAAATGACAATCTCGAATCTGTTACCGAAAGTGTTTGTAGCTCTCATACAAAGCGAAAACTAAATCCTCTTAGTACATAGTCAGTGTAATGTAATGCGTATCTAGCATCTACGGATGTAGGATGTAAAGGTAGACTGAACGGTAGAATCGCTATTCGTGTCTGTTGTTGTCGCAGCTGTTTAGAGTCGCAACTAAAACTGAGGAAAACAGGAATCGCGGCAAAGAACTGTGCCAACGCTGTCATAACGTTTTTCCACTCAGGATGCGATATCGACTGCTGTAAAATAAATTTAAAATGTATCTTTTGTATTATTTTTTATTAATATGATACTCCTCTTAAAGGAGTATGTATCATAGAATTGGTAGCGCATGACTCCTACTGCGAACCCTTTAACGTGGAAAATCATTTGTTTTGCGCCAGGTGCCGAAGAATAAGTGATCCTCTGTGTGGGTGGACGTGGTAAGGACAGCCAGCGCAGCGTAGCCGCTAGGGTGGACGTCTTCAGCCCATCGATACCGGCAGTGTGGCGCCTGAAGAAACTGCGCGAAGAGGTCGGCAACGCCGTAGTAATGCCTGACTCCAGTTCGCTGTTTATGTTCATAGCTGGCCACGTCATGACTGTACAACGTAACAGCCACTACACGGACCTGCGTAAGGAGTGGCGCCGGCTGACCTCCATGCGGATATGGCGCTATTCGGTAGCATATGCCACACTGAATGGTGGCATTTACGCGGTCGGCGGTTATGCTCAGGACAGCGCATCGATGCAACCACTGACGTCCGTGGAAGTGTACGACCCGAATGACGATTCTTGGAGCGTCGTCGCTTCGCTACCCGCTCGTCGGGCCTCCTTGGCATTGGTGGCGTGTGAAGACCGACTGTATGCGTTCGGAGGAGAAAACGGGGCGCGCGACTGCAGGACGGCTTTCTGTTATGATCCATCAACAAACTCCTGGAGCAGACTGGCCAACATGCCGACCGCGCGCAGCGAGTGCGCTGCCTGTGTGGCTCCCAGCGGATTGATTTACGTAGTCGGTACGTATGTCGGTATGCGTAAAAATTAAACTGGAACATATAACTTATTTCAGTATACGAGTGTAACCGTCCAAAACGACCGGTCGCCTCAGGTCGCTTTGGCCTTTAAACCGTCCGAAGCGACCGGGGGCCGCCAAAACGACCGACGTCAATTTTGCTCACCCAGTTTTTTGCGTTTTTGATCAAGACCAAATGGTACTCGTTAAATTTCGTATCCGGTCGTTTCTGCCAGAGGGTAAATTTGTATCTGGTCGTTTCTGCCGGAGTTCAAATTCGTTCCCGGCCGTTCCTGCCGGAGTGGACCTAGGTGGCAAATTTTTACTGAAAGATATGGTCATATTTCCACCAGACTTATGCCCTATGTGGAAAATTCCCGCCCAGGCGTAGGGACCTGAGTGTAAATTACCACCCGACTCATGGACTTAGGGGTAATTTCCTACCCAGAGATATGAACGTTTTCCCACCAGACTTTTGATGTAGGTAAAAAATTCCCACCAGACACATGGACTAGGTGGTAAATTACCAACCATACATATGGACCTAGGTGGTAAATTCCCACCCAGGTGTATGGACAAGGTGGTGAATTACCACCCATACATACGGACCCCGGTAGTGCTACCCCAGAGGAGGGAACTCTAACCCAGAGATATGTAATTTTGTAGGTGGTAAATTACCACCTAGTCTTGTCAAGTACAATATACCTTAGTGGGAATTTACCCCCTAGGACCATGTGTCTGGTCAAAATATAAAACCTTGGCCCACCGCGGCAGAAACAATTTACACTCCAGCTGAAACGACTGGATACGAAATTACACTCCGGCAGAAACGACCGGAAGCGAATTTACACTTCGGCAGAACTTACCGGTTATGAATCTAATTACATAGGAAAGTTAGCTTATTGCCTTATTCCATTTGGACATGATCAAAAACGCAAAAAAACTGGGTGGGCAAAATTTACGACTGTCGTTTTGGCCGCCCCCGGTCGTTTCGCACGGCTTAGAGGCCAAAACGACCGGCGGTCGTCTGAGACGACCGGTCGTTTTGGACGGTTACATACGAGCACCAATCTAGTTATTTAGTATACCCGTAATTCGAACGTACTTCTTACCTACTTTGTATTTGAGTAAACGACATTTTTCGTATACAATCTTTTCCCTTGCTCCGAAACCCAAATTAATTCCACCGATATACTGCACAGGTGGAAATGGAGTCGATCGAGAACGCTGTGTGGAGGCGTACGACCGCGCAGCAAATCAGTGGATAAGGAAAGGTCAGACAGACTGTTTCAGTCTTAAAACTCTCTGCAGTGTTAAGCTGTAATTCTGGCTAGAATGTGCGATATCAACGGCAATTAACCGTAGGGGATCTGGTCGAGCCACGCCATAGCCCCGGATGCGCTTGCGTGGACGGCAAGCTGTACGTTCTCGGTGGATACGATGCCAACGAGTGGAACAGCCATTCCAGCATCGAAGTGTACGATGAAGACGCTGACCGCTGGGCGCTGCATGCATGCCGATTGCCGCAGCCCAGATACGGCTTTGGCTGTGTGGTGATGAAAATGAAGCGTGACTGAAACGAAGCGCATGCGTCCAGCGGCTCGTCGGTTGAAACTTCTTGAAGTTTTGCCGCTTTTCCATAGTATGGACACATTTGCGGGCGCAGACGGTCAGTTGGGAGTGGAAAACATACAGGCTTCATCATCTTATTAGTATATAATATTAGTTAATGTTTCGTTTGTTTTGTTGGAAATAGTTCTTACGTTTCTGGGTGATTGGTTTTGTCTTTACTCTTGATGAGAACATACGTAACCGTATTTGATTTTTTTAAACGGAGGATATTGCAGCTGCTGAATGAACTGGATTTCATGTGATTTTCTGTAGGAAAGAGTATGCACAATGTTCTGTACGGCACGATATTCCACGGGTTTTTTTGTGGTCATGATTCACAAAAAAATCTGCTGCGGCGGTTAACGGTTCACATGGTTCGGTTCGTTAACGGTTCGCAATTTTCCAGCTTGCTTGAGCCTGGAAAGCGTCGCCTGATATACGATTCACCGCTCAGTGTTGCATGGTGCTTTCTACAATGATGCCATTATTGCGAAAAATCAGACATCTTTCTCTGTGGGCTGGTATACGGCCAGTGCAGCGCATTATGGTGCATAAGTTATGATTCATAGAGATAAGAACGGGTATGTTGAAAAACGGAGCTGTGCAGCGCGGTATCTCGAATACGTGCGGTATGGTTGTTTTGACCATTCGGAGCGTAGATAAGCTCCGGATCGTGATGACACACGTTACCAGTCGTATCTACTGCGCATAATGCACAAAAAACCTACATAGGCGTTGGAAGATACCCGAATGTCTGAATCTGCGTATTATGTCAACAATGCCATGAAGCGGAGAAAAATACAGAACTACAGTACATGATAATGATTTTATTTGCAATACGGCGGTCTGACGAGCGGACCAGGAACAATGAAAAGATTGGTCAAATTATAACAGTAAATCAGTCATGACCTTTAGAAGGCAATAAATAAATAGCGACCGAGCGGTGGGCATTGATTGGTGATCAAGTGAGGCGATCGGTGATAAATGAAACGTAAAATAGCGAACGATGTCCCTTTGGGGAGCTTTTTATGGCTCATCCAATGATCTGAGAATGACGCTGTCGTGCTTATTACAGCTCGTCGAACGTTTCCCTTTGTTGCCCATGTGAACCGTTAACGCTTCTTTAGTACATCGATCAGGATCCATGCTCGATTCAGTAACTAGGAGAATATTTTTCTTGACGATATCGTCCGAAGCCATCGATGGTTTCGGTCTGTTTGACTTTCATGTTTTCGACCCGACAGCTATCATAACACATAACCGATTTACAATGGTAATAGTGAGAAGTTGGTCAACGATTCGTGTGAATGCTGAAAACGGATGTCCCCGCCTGTGAAGAGTCACCGCTGGGTTTGGCAGGCGTTCACATTAGTGTATGGGATAACGCCATTACACAAAAACGTCACCAAGCTATGGGATGACGTTGGCGACAATAAGTGACACGAAGCACGGTTGAGACCAGTCAACGCGAAGGTACGCCGGGGCCTAGGGTAGCTCAACGCGCTTCCAGCGAAAGTATTCGGCAGTTTCTTGGATAACCAGACTTTTCGCATTTCCGTTGGCCTGTGGTTTGGTGCACAAATTTTCGAGCGTCCTTTGTGTGCCAGATGTGGAAGAGATGTGGCGGAGAATAGATATCATGGGCCGATTAAGAAGTGCATTGGCAGAATGCTTCAAACGTTTCGACAAAATGGTGGGTGCGTCCACAATTAAGGGCGCTGGCACGTAGCTGTATGATCGTGGACTACAATAACGATGGAAGCCAAACGTACCTACAATATAATCAAAGACGAAACGACATTTACCACCTCTCGTTTCATTTTACCTCTTTTGCCGTCATTCACGAAACGGTTATAAGCTGAGCTATAAGTGAGCATGTTTACTACCATAAATATTTTAGCTCTTCGTTTTTACCATCATTTTATACATGTGCACAACATCCACCGCAACACAGCAAAAGCATCACGAAGAACGAAAGTACATGCTCGAAAGAGTTTAGAGATGTTGCAATGGAAACATTATTGTACGCACCGTTGTTCAATAGTCCGTCTAACAGGGAAAGATTGGTCTAGTCGGCAGACGCCGCTGTCAAGGATGATAGAAGGTGGCGGCAGTTATTCTTTCCCGAGACCATGGGATTCCAGCTGCCCAGTCCGATAAGACATTGACATCCTCTCCGGATAAGGTGACGGTCGACCATGCTGCATTGCGTTTAGTATCGAAAAATTCTATCGTCAGTGCGTGGTCTTTTCCGGCGTGCTGGCCGCCGCAGACATATATTCGGTCTTTAATAACGCATGCTGAATGCTTTAGTCTGGGTTGATGTAGTGGTTCAATCACGTCCCATGTAGCCGTTCCAGCTTTCAGACGAATACAGTCGGCTACTGCAACCCTTTCCGAGTTTTTGTTAACGTATCCCCCCATAATGTATACGTAATCGTTGACCACAGCCATTGCAAAATCCAAGCGTCGTGTTGGCATCTTAGGGTAGGATTTCCAACTTTTTGTTACCGTATCAAACTGCCACAGGACCGGTGGTGTAGCATAAATTATCTGCAGATCGTATTTTGCCACTGCTTGTACAAATTCGTAGGATCTGTAAAACAGAAACGCTTGAATCGTTATCTCTCATGACTGTAAAAAAGTGTGACTAATGGGAAGTGACCCGGGTCATGGTACCAAACTGGGTATACATCTAAGAAAACTTCAGCTTTCGCGCATCTCCAACCCCTTTTCACATTGTTTTATGACATTGCATGATTTGGATACATAGGCATGAAAACCGTTTAAGCGCTCAAAGTCACGGCTCGGGAGCAATGGGTGAAATACAATTCCAAAAGTTTACATGCACGGAGTCAGATTATCAACCATCTGTTATGGTTATCAGATTAGTCTGGTTATCAAAAGTCTGATTATCAATTGATCTTCCAGTTTTAAATTAATTTCTACAGTATGTTGTTTGAAATTTGGAAAGATGGTTCGACGTAAAAACGACGTTCATGGTAATTTGCGTTTTCATGCAAAATTCGAAGAATATCCATTTATAGTGAGACTTTCGGCACTCATTCGTTAGCTTAAGTTTTAAATTTTGGAATTTTTTGTTACCGATAACCGCATGTTGCACGCAAACGGTTTTTACGCCAGTGTTAACGAACAATCTGGTTGCAGAATGCCATGAAATAATGCAAAAACGTGTATTTGATTGTGCCAAATTAGCAATTTTTGCACATGTACACGAATATGGTGCCATGTTCCAGGTCGCTTCCCTCAAGCTCCTTCAACCAACTGAATCAGAGAAACGTAAATCTAAAAAGCCTAAGAAATTTAAGATAATATACTGTACGAGTACTGGGCACACCACGGGAACGAGTGCGTCAAAATAGTCGAAAAGCTCGACAAAGCAGTCAGCAATAGCATGTTTGTGGTCGAACATACTGCGGCTAGGTAGGCAAATAGCTCAAAATAATAATTGTCTTACCTCCACGGAATATGCTTCAGAGACGTAACCCTGCCAGTAGAGATGCTTATTTCCGTTAACATTTTGTTCATGTCCCAGAAATAAACTTTGTTCTGTACCGCGACAAAGCTTGTTTCAGGATGTATCCGTACGTCTAAGGCCAAAATTGTCTCTCGTTCATGCCATGCTCCTTCGCCAAAACTCCAGATACAAACACGGAACTTCCACTTGTCGTCGATGTCACGTATCTCTTCCGTGAACAGAATTTTTCTTTCCGTTACAGAGAACTGTTGATAGCCAAACCACCGCGAGTCGCGTGAGATCTTCACATTACTCGGCGTGTCTTGAACGCTTACAGAACCAGTTAGAGGGTCAATTATTAAAAAATCTCGTAAAGCGAAGCTGTCAGAAGCGAAAAATATTATGACCTCCTTTTTCTGCAACTTCTGCAGCAGTTCCCCGGCGGATAACCGACTTGTGCTGATTACATTCAAACACTGGCGAATGATGCCGGCCAGGTCTCCATCAACGTCGCCGTCCACAAACGGAGCGTAGCCGTTTATTATCAGTGTGGCGTACTGGTAATCGGCGAGCTGAATTTCAGCACTTATAAATTATAATGTCCCCATCCTTTATAAGTCGCTTCTTAAATACACGTCCCACGCTCTCGACCAGATCAAGAATGATGCAGCCCAAGCTCCACATATCCCCTTTCCGTCCTGGCGCTTCAGTCGCCATTTGGGAAAATTTTCTCAGCATCTCTGGCGACATGTAGCGTGGTGTGCCGCACAACTGCGAAATGTCTGCCGAAGAAGTTGCGTTCCCTTCAATCTGAACTATATCATCTAAATCACTGATCAACAGCTTTTGGCGACCATTTGCGGATACTTTTACCAGAACGTTTTCCGGTTTCAGATCTCCATGAATAATGCCGTTGCGATGCAGGCAATCCAATCCCCGAGCCAAGTAGATTACAAATTTTTCCACCTTTTTATAACTACTGAAGATTTCTGTCTTCTGCTTGGCTTCCCTCAGCAGCTTAGCCAGATCCCCTGAAAGGTTTTAATGCAGTAATTAATCCAAAGAGTAATGCGTTAAATTGCTACTAAGGACAACCGAACAGGGTACCTATATGGCAGTCCATTGCTAGTTCGACTGTGGCTCCGGCGGACGATCTTGTGATGGACACTTTATGATACGCTACGAGATTCTCGTGGTGAAGTTCAGTGAGTCTCCTCAATGTTCTCAATGTTGCTATTAAACTTTCGTAGTCGGCAACGTTTTCGGAAGAGGCACAGATTTGTATCACTTTGACTGCTACAAAATTTTCGCCTGTATAACGGCACCGCTTCGTAACTCTGGCTTTGTAAACAGCGCCAAACGATCCCCTTCCAATTAAATCTTCATGAGAATAGCGATATTGCATAGCATGGCCAAAGTGCTGGACTGTGTCGGAAAAGCTGTTCCCCATTTCAGCTACTTCACTTAGAAGTAGTTGTAAGCGATTACGTTTTCTTCACGGTAAATAAAACCGAGTATACCATTTGCAGATTATTAAATGATTTATGCAAGCACTAAAAACCCGATCGCTCTCTTGTTCGCTTACTACTTAAAGCATTTTCCCTTTGCGATGTATGCGCTTAGTGCAAACCGAATCAAACGAAGTAATCAATGATCTCGCAATGCCGCCGCAAGAATAAACAACAGATAACACCTCACCACCACCACTGAAAATTCAATACTAAATGACGACAGGCCTGATAGCGCTAGCAAACAAACAAACCATTCACCATGTACGTAAGGTACAACACTTGTATTTTATCTGACGGTATTGGTATGAACACGGTTTTCCACATGCGCTCGGGCGGTTATGATCTGCTCACACAAAAACATTTACAGGTCTATTTTTAATCGGGCTTCTTTTCTGGCTATGTAAGGTACGACGTAATCCCGCTCTTCTGTGATGATCGGCGGACCGAGGACGAAAATCACGTGACGACTGCTGGCAGGTTCCTGCAGCACAACTTTCCACAAAGCGCATACTCTGCAAACGAAAATCAGAGGAACACTGGTTATTAATTTTGATGCGTACTGGGTTTTGTAGGGTACGGATAGCTAAGAGAAGTAAAATAGGTTTTGAAGGTTTCAAAAAAAATTAAAAAAGGTTAGAATAAAAGTTAACGCGGATGGATACATTAGCGATACTACATGTACTGGAATTGTTAAGATAGTACGTTTAAATATTAGCATGCAGAACAGGCTGAGCAACAGCTTATATTAAATTTTGGCCTTTGGACAGTCACAGATGTGGATATATAAATTATAAGAGCAGGAAGGCTAAGCGATGACGATATACAGGGGTACTACGCCAAGTTCGGGCACTTTTTATCAAAAATTGCTAAAGGTCACCCGTCAACACTTTCAAACTTATTAAATTTTTATAGTATCATCGTATGTGTCCAATGTCCATCATCTTTTGCAGGCTGAGAGCGTGTTTCGAATTGCAGCGAGTTTGAAACTAGAGCAGACCTGCTTGAAAATGCGGCTCAACCCAAGTTACCCAAGTACCAACCCTTCTGTTTATAATTCGCTTAAAAATTCCGCTGACGTCCTTCTTTATAGAAAATAAGCCTAACTTGTTTGTCGTTCAGTACTTAAGCAAGCCCAAGGTTGTATAAATTCAATAAAATTTACGTGACCTTTGTAATGAGACTGTGGGCATATTTAAAGTGGATGGTGACCCTTTGTAAACGCTTGCCCTGAAACCGCGCGATTTTATCGATGACAGATTTTTATGTAATCTTATCTGCAAGGTACTGAACGCTTATTTAAAAGCTTTCATCCGCATAACAAGCTGAACTGTTGGAGACAGTTCGCTCTTGCACACTCAAACGGCAACCATAACTTCTTTTGCATGTTGCTTTGTTCGTTTTTTCTTTCAGTTGTCCGGCACTTTCATCTCTCTTCCCGCGTAGCGGATCTCCATCGGCCAGCGGCCCACCATCCTCGTCTCGCAGCGCAACATGTGCGGAAGTTCCCTGCAGTTTCTGTCGACCAATATGTTTAATAAAATAATGCGGCCATCTGTTTAATAAAAATTATAAAATAATGCGGCCATGCTGTTTAGAGTGGATCCATTGGGCGCTGATCGTTGTGGCGTCGAAGTCAACGAAGAACTTATCGCCGTCAATATCCTGAACATATCCCAGCCACCTTTGCCGTTGTCGCGTTGTCCCAGCACCGTGTTCCCGAAGTTGATTTGGGACGTCTCGGAGTACCCCTCCCGAAAGTGGCGTACGGTGGTCAGCATGTTGGCGTGAGATTAATTAATAGAAAGTCTGGCACATGTACGGGGCGTTTTCTGAATGTCACTCAGCCACTTGGCCGAACTTGTGGTGTTGCTTATTTCGACGGCCCACAGCTGCAGAATATAATATCTATTATGTTTTACAACGTACATTAGAAGAGTAGATAAAAAGAAAATAAGATCCATCTACTGCATACAGCGACAAACGCATAGAGCAACAGTTTACGATAAGGTGCACTGAAACGCTTAATAACAAATCCAGACCTATAGGATATATTATCAGGATTTCGTGACAGAGGCGTTGCTTATAAAAGCAGGGCGGGTGAAAGGGCGGCTAATCACTACGCGCACAAGAAAACTGGAATATGACAGATTTAGTTTGATTCCATCAGTATTCAGTGGTTAACTCGATTCCGGCAATACAGCAGGGAAAGAGATAAACTCAAACAACGAACAAATGATGTACTCAAACAACGCTTGCTCTGCCATCGCTGGCCGGCATACTGAGCTGATTACATTTTGAATAACCGGTCACCAGCTCCCATTTGGCGTTTTACATGATTAATCATTAATGGTTTATCTTAGTTGAAACAACGTGTTCAATCGAAGTAAATTTTGATTTTTGATAAATTTCGATGTTAGGTTTTTATTCTACTTTTAAAGCAATTTTCGGGTTAGGGTAACATCTAATCAGCAGTGAAATGCAACACTTACAAAGAAGGCTCAGAAATTATTAAGCGCATCTTCGGTGAAAAGCATGTGATCGAAATCGCTCAGAAACAAAAACAGAAACGGAAACTTTTAAATATGCATCCCCACAAATTCTTTTTCCCCCTAATAATAATACTGACGCTTACTTATAACGACTAATTTTTTTTAATGACGGTTTCCACTTACCAAGCCAAACAAAATGATTTATTTCGTTCAATTTTTTCAATGTTTAACTTGGATGATTTTAATTAGTTTAAATCATCGCAGCCGTATTTGTATGGATACTGGCTATTGCCGAATAAGTATTTATGTAACTGACTTTAAACGTATGTGAGCAGAGAAGCGGCTCACGTACAGCGATAAAGTCTTTCAAAGGATTTCAACGTATTGCGCCGTGGTGCAGTGGTACTGCCTACGCGGGTCTAACGACGTAGCCGGGTTTCAATTCCCCCATCGGCGCCTTTTCCAGCCGTATCTCGGTTTCCAGTGGGTAGCGCCCTGGTTTTACGTAGATCGGTTATAACTTACCGGGGCTAGTGAATAGCTGCCAGCTTAGTTCAGATCCGGGTCGGCTCGTGCCGTCCGGGTGACAGTAGCTGCGCAACTCAGATCCGTCCCAAGGGATAATACGCTCTTGCCTGCTTCAGGGTAGGGGGTTCGTCCTCGGTAGTTATACCTGTTTATTATTCTGGTCAAGAATGCATGGTTTTCCAACCGGACTTTTTGCAAATGTGGGTTACGCACTCATTAACTAAGTACATTCCTGCTCCAGAGCGGTTAGTGACTCTTACGTCTCGCCCAGCTTGCTTCATCGTGAACTCGCCGTTAAGTGCACTCCCGATGTTGGCCGTTAATGACCGATATAATTTCTTCAGTATCGCCTGATTTTGTAATTTTTTTTATTTTTGTGACCGTTCAGAACCTCAATTCCTTAACTTGGCTGTCCAGAATTCCAACCTAAAAAATGTCGAAGCGACGCCGATCAGCCAGTCCAGATTATAAAGTTTATCTGTCTCGAGCCTCTCTGGCTATAGAATTTGTACGCGGCATGCATGAGCTGCAGAAGACGGGGACCTACTGTGACGTTGTCTTGAAGGGCAGTGAAGAAGCTTCTGTCGGCATTCCCTGCCATCGCATTGTCCTCACCGTGCACAGCGAATACTTTCGGGCGGCCTTCACGCAGGAGTGGAAGGAGTCCACTCAGCAAGTATACCAGCTGCGCAACATCGACAGCCAAACACTGAACGAGTGAGTATCTCACAACCCCAGACATTCCAGCACTTGGGCACTGTTAGATTGTATTATGTTTTGAAATTTTCTAATTTAAAACATTTTTTATATCAACATTACTGGGAGGCTAAACCAAATGACGGACTCATTTACACTGTTGCACTGGGTCCGTCCAATGTTTGATTGACGTTATCTTAATAATTTCAGTTTTCGCTTCAAAGAGCAATGTTTGCTGCATACACAGGTTAAGCTTAGCTTACTGCTAAGTAGCGCTTACATTAGGCAAATGTTTGACCTTTTCTTTTAAAAATGCTTTGCTGATTTTGACAGCTGATTAATTTGTTTTTAAACGAAGTTAAACAGTTCTCGGTACCGCAGGTGACACGCAACAAACGAACGAAAATGGGAGACTGCCATTTTTTTTACCATCCAGTAATTTCGATGTCTACATTTTAACTGGAGCTCCCCTCCTGCGCAAAAATTGTTGAATGTATTTTGGGTGCTCGGGTAGCTTAACAGTTTTGGTCTCCAGTCAGTATTGCTGGGAGGCCGGTGCCACCGCCCAGGATAGTGGGGCTGCGTGGATGCCGCACCGTCTCTGCGGTCTGTTTTTGTGCCGATTCGACCGTACATTAAAGTTATTGATTAAAATGTACGGTCTCACTTCTCATTCGGTGATTTTGCCTTCTCCCAGCCAAGAATATCTTGACTGGCCGATTCTGTTTTCCCTCTTGTTCCCTTTCTGGGTTTTCTGATCATCCTGCGGATGGTCGAGATTTGTCGGGCATTGTGCCTTTATTAAAAATTGCCATTTTTAATAAAGTTCTTTTGGTAGCGCGGTCGCATTTCCTTCGCACATCTGTGCATCGTAATCGCCACGCTTACAGTATCGTCCATTTCAATGCTGAGTCTTGGTTCTACGCTCACTATCCAGGTTAGTGGAGTACGCCTACACACTGAACATCAGCCTCAACGGCGACAACGTGGAGCATATCCTGATAGCGGCGCAGTTCTTGCAAATCGCCACGGTTGTCCGATTCTGTTGGGACTACGTAGAGAAGCACCTGCATCTGTCCAACTGCCTGTTGGTCCATGCTCTGGCCTCCAACTATCACAATCCCAATGTAGCCGACGCCGCCTTGGGCTTCATCCGGCGACACTTCCTGGAATTTGTGGAGGGTCACGACTTTCTGCAGATGGACGCTCAACAGGTACAGACTGTGGCGACCTTGTACATACTGTGCAGTACGCCATGAAAACATTGTATTTTTAGCCTCGGGTGGCTCTGTCTGCTCGATTTAGTTGAGCAAGTTGTACATTTCAAAAAAGACGTTGAAATCTTTAAGAATGTATTACTCCAAGCTGAGCGTCTCTTACAATATGAGCTTAGTTGGGCGCTTCTAAAAATGTGAAAAAAAACATGGAACTATGTACAATAGGTAATTTGTTTGCAGCTGATTCTGGTGATAGGATCAGATGTCTTGGACGTGCCAAGCGAGGATCAAGTGTTTCAGGCGGTGATGCGTTGGTGGGAATACGACCGTCCCGGAAGATTGGCGCACCTCCAAAGTCTACTGCAAACCGTCCGTGTGCCCTTTCTGAGTGGCTAATGCCAGCAAGAATACGCTCTGGCCCTGGCCAGTACGTCGACCGCGGTGCCGCAAGGCTTGTCTGGGACAGTCGGGGAATTACCCGGCGAAGATACGAAAGACACCATCCCACGACAGTCATACAGTAAGCATTACATGGGATACTCGATTAACCAAGCAGCGTTCAGATAAATTGATTGGTCTTTGACCATTTCGTGCGATGATTAAGTTCAAAACAGAGAAAGAAACATCGATCACATACATACGTCACACAGTAAATGCTATTTAGGTTGGACAAGCAGCCAGCGAAAGAGAGTAAAGGCGTATTTCAAATGCAACCTCTCAATAAAATAGAGTACGGATACAGGCTCGCTTCCAGTGATTTCTAACTTTTAGCGGGGTTTATTTATTTAAGAGAACTGCCTACAGAGGCAGTTTGAAGGGCGGGCACCATTTCATTACCTACTTGTAGTGTAGTGGCTACGCGCAATAGTTGCACGTAGCAACATCATATTTGCATGACTTTGGTTGAGCTGACCTTATGTGATACGAGTATTCTTTGCATATTATCATTTAGTTAGTCAGTAGTTCAGTATCTCGATCGAGAATGATCAAAGTCTTCGCACATATTTTTTACATTGTAAGTAAATAAATCACATTCGGTTCCGCCGGAAGTGTGTGTGTGTATGTAGCTGCTGTACCGAGTACTATACTGAATAGTATTATGTAAAGAGAATCCTTCATATAAAGAGAATCCTCCTACAATAAAGAGAATCCTCCTACAATCCTCCTCCTACATAGTCTACAAGCGCGTCTACTACTGTAGTCCGTTTTCTTCTGTCTGCCGCGTACTACAACTGCTCACCCATTAACTTGGGAAACCGCTTATTGTAATCTAGTTTTTATCAGGTGCGGAGGAGGTAATCCTCTGTGTGGGTGGACGTGGTCAGGATAACCAGCCTAACGTAGCCGCTACGGTGGACGTCTTTAGACCATCGATACCGGCAGTGTGGCGCCTGAATAAACTGCGAGAGAGGGTCGGTGGCGCCCTAGTTATGACTGACGCCAGTTCGCTGATAATCTTCGTAGCTAGCCACGTCATGACCGTACAACGCAATAGCCGCTACACCGACCTCTGTAACGAGTGGCGCCGGCTGGCCTCCATGCAGAAAGGGCACCATTCGCAAGCATTTGCCACACTGAATGATCACATTTACGCAGTGGGTGGTTATGACCTTGGCGGCGCATTTAATCAACCACTACCATCCGTGGAAGCGTACGACGCCACTGACGATTCCTGGAGCGCGGTTGCCTCGCTGCCCGCTCGTCGGGCCTCCATGGCATTAGTGGCGTGTGCCGGCCGACTTTATGCTTTCGGAGGAGAAAACGGCGCGCGGGAGTGCAAGGCGGCTTTCTGTTATGATCCATCGACAAACTCCTGGAGCAGACTGGCCAGTATGCCGATCGCCCGCAGCCAGTGTGCTGCATGTGTGGGTCCCAGCGGATTAATTTACGTAGTCGGTACGTATGCGTAAGAAGAAAAGTGGAGACACGCTTCTTGTTTTATAATTTCAAGCTTGCTCGTAATTTCCTGCCCCACAGGTACGTATAGGACGTATAAATTAGATCGATTTCGCATGCATCAGCCATTCCATATCCATGTGGAGCGTAACTAACTTGTCGTGGCACGTGTAACCTTCAGGAAGGTTACACGTGGAAGGTGGACGTACAAAGAAATCGCATCCATCTCCCTGCCGAAGTACGGCAGATTGGTGGATGAATCATGCGCGCCGTAGTATGGAGTTGGGCGTAACCCTGAATTCGTAATTGTCGCTGTGATGATGCGATAGAAATTAAGGGACAACACTACAGAGGGTGACAAGCGCACATAGGGTGACAATTTTCACGCCAAGCTGAGCCAGTTTTAGAAAAATTTATCGTGCTTTTCTGCGCTCAGATATTAATGTGATGTTCGACCAGAATTGAAATCCCTTCGGGGTTGCCTGCTCTTGTGCCGTAAATAATAATAATAATAACAATAATACCTGTTGATACAGGTGATACAGGTCTATGTGATACAGGTGTAACCACCTTTACGAAGACCACTGTACCTCACCATTTCCCGCAAGGAGAGCCTAGCCAATTGTCAGAAATTTATTCTTGCGATAACTTTCGTAGGTGGAATTGGACAGGGTCGGGACCACTGTGTGGAGGCATATGATCGCGCAACAAACCAGTGGATAAGGAAAGGTAAGGCTGCTTCAGCTGTAGCCGTGCAGCTGTATATTTGCATGGAAGGCATGATATCAATGCCGCTTTGCAACCGTAGGGGATCTGGTCCATCCGCGTAGTCAGCCCGGATGTGCTTGCGTGGACGGCAAACTGTACGTTCTTGGTGGGCACCATCACGAGGAGGTGAACAGCCATGACAGCATCGAAGTGTACGACGAAGACGCGGACCGCTGGGCGCTGCATGAATGCCGATTGCCGCAGGCCAGATACGCTTTTGGCTGTTTGGTGATGAAAATGAAGCGCGAGTGAGACGCACGCTACCAGCGGCTCGTCGGTTAAAGGCACTGAATACCTGCGGCTATTTCGTAGAATATACGAATATGTCCGCGCTCGGTCTAGACGGGAGTGGAACACGAGCAGGTTTCCTGTTTTTTTAGCTTACAAAAAACAGTTTGTTAAGGTACTTTTTTGTTTTGGTGGACGTAATTGTTAGGTTTTGGCTAATTTTTTTAAAATGTAGCTCCCTTCTTCTTTCGTAAGACTGCTAAATTACCGCTCATGAACAGTTTATCACAATAGCAAAATTTCATTTAACGCTGTCGCTCCATCCATTGTTCCAGTACGGAAGGGACGTTGCCAGGCTGATAGACGCTAGCGGAGAAAATCATGGGAGCTAGGCGGGAGGTTCATATGAATGCAGTTAAAATCGCTTGCCGATTTCTTTGATTACGAGGGTAGCTGAGTTTGGCGAATTGATTTTGTGTTAACTCTTATAACAATACTCGACGTTGCTCTTTATTAAATGAATCGGCTCTTTACTGAATCGGCATGATTGGGTGTCGTTGCAAAAAACTTAGAATTGAATTGAATCACATTACATTTAGGTTCCCCAAATCACTCAGCCTGGTGGAGACTTCGTACAGACTCGGGTTAACAGTACAAAAATGCTAAAAACAAAATTCAGTTACAGAAAGCAAAAACAATATACGGTAGGAAGCATTAAAAGATCATAGATAAGTGCAGCAAGAAAAATAACCAGAAGCGCCAGCCAGTAAATCCAGCTGAGCGTGATGTACATTTTGGGCATCTTTAAACATAGAGTGTATATTATGGGTAAAACGTGTATCAGCGTTACACGAAACAGCTCGAAAACGATCAAAATTTAGAAAATGGAGGAAAAAGTACGATGCATGATGTAAAAGTACGATGTACGAGGGTAAAGTACGATGATTTGCATATACCGCAGCGATGCGCCTGCTTCAATCTTTGAAATATGCGACCAGTGCGGCAAAGGTCAACTTGCTCATCGTGACACGTCCAGCTGCCGCAAATCCACTTGATCCTACTGGCGCGTCATCTGTTGAATCTGCTCAACACGAGACCCACGCATTCAAATCAAACCATAAATGTTTCGAGTTAGTTACGCAGTCTTACACTAGCCATACAGATACTTAATACTTGCATCCGGAGGAGGCTGCGAATCACCATTAACCAATCTGGGTAGGCCAATGTCTGCACCCACCGTGCATGCATCGCGATGACCTTTTCCAACACTCGCTGTGAAACGGCCGGACAAGCATCGGTGGCCGTTGCTAAAAACCGCCGACACTGCTCCGTGGCTGTCTCTGTGCAGGGAAAACGCAGCAACTGAAGAACCACATTATCTAACCCATTATTATCGAGACCATACATAAACACTCCTTCGTCTCGCGGCCATGTCGTTCCTGTATCGCGAACCCACTGCCCAGAGCCTGTCAAGTGGTAACCCATCCCATCGGAGGCGGTGAAATTAATCAGCCACAGCTCGGCACACACTGACATCCATCGACGCGCTGATGCCAATGTTGGGGATTCATAATTCCCATTCGGATCGGCTGCACCCAACCTGACGAATGGAATACCCACATACGAACAGTCTCTGTTGTCCTTCTTGGTGATGATCAGAAAGGGCGCAGATTTTCTACTCATAAATTCATAATAATAATACTATGTATAATGATTTATTATGTAACATATGCACGGGTTGCAGTTACTATCAGATCTTGTAAAATATTTTATCAGATATTACAGTATCAAGCGGATTGCATGTAGTAGAACAAGAAGAAGTAGAACTATTTATTTCTCCAGAGCTGTCAGCCTGGTAGAGACATCTTCGTTAATGTGTACGTATTTACTACGTACTTTTATTAAACATGTAGACCGGTACGTAAAGATCGCTTCGGCTAAGCATATCTGCTGCTGCAGTTGATATTGGCCGTTGCCGGTTGTGTATCTACTGTACACAATTATTAAAATTATAATTATAGTATCTGCGCTGCGCTGAATACGGCTGCGCATGTTCTGTAGTCTTTACTGCAGAAGGACTGACCATGCCGGCAGCTCGTAACCGCGCGATCACTACTCGCAGCTGGGCGCTGCATGCTCGCTTTTATCACAATACGAGAGTCTATCGATCGTTTCCTAAGGCACAACTGCCGCACTTACGTGTTGCGAACTCACTGCAAGCTGTGATACAAGTGCATGAAATATTTCAAAGAATAATTTTTTTCTCCACAAAACGGAAGGGAAGCTCGTTTTGATTTGCGTTTTTCTGACGTACTTCTAAATTTCCGCTGACAAAGTCATTTTATTGCTGAAAAAGGTAGGTTTGACAATAAACTGCTTCTGTTTTCAGGGTTGAGGCCTTTCTGCTGGTATAATAAAATTATTCCATGTTTGAGATTTCGCTACTCATTTCTTTGGTGCGCAAGAGAATCAGCCATGGAAGACCAGGAAATCCATGTTCAGAAGGCGCCCAGGGACAGCTCCGAGGACAACCCGCAAATTAAGGTTGATGGAAAGGAGAGTAATATAAATCCAGAGATTGTCTTTGCTGTGACAATGTTTAAGTGTTTAACGGAATCATCGTCTTCGTTTGACCAAAACGTGGTTCTGTGTCCATATTCCCTGGAGATTGCACTAACCTCCCTTCTTCCCGGAACTAGTGACAAGCTAAGAGGTGATCTAATGCGGCTACTTTGTGCTAATGGCAGAGATTTCGAGCAGTTGATTAAGGAAGTAGGGGAAGCCCAAGCGGATGAAACGCTGGTAATATCCACAACAGGCTTTTACGACGAACGTTATCCGCTACGTCAGTCATTCATCGCAGCGCTCAGTGCCGCCCTTGAATTCAAATGGATACAAGCGCCCTTTGCGAGTTCACCTGCGGCAGCTTTGAATGTAGTGAACACATACGTATCGCAAAAGACAAATGGAGAGATTTCTCACGTTCTAAACGAACTGGCGCCCACAACCACATTGATTATACTGAACATCGTTAACTTCACGGGGCCTTGGGAGAAGCAGTTCGATACAAAATACACCGAGCGCGGGATATTCCGTGGCGTCAATGGAGTTGAACAAGCGGTACAGTTCATGAAAAACGAACATGCCTACATTCGGGCTTACAATGTCGGCTCATATAAATGGGAGAGCAGTAGCGACGATCCCAAAATAGTTATTTTGGATATCCTGGGAAGGAAATACAGTGTAATGCTGTTACTCCCTGCCGACGCATCAAGTGGAACTGCACTGCTGGAAAAACAGTTAACTCCGGAAAAACTACTGATCTGGCGACGAAAAGCCAAAGTGTCATACTTGTGTATGGTCGTACCAAAATTCCGCATTTCCTTCGACGAGGATTTAATCGACTGCACGAAGCTAATGGGACTAAAAGAATTATACACGCCTTCCAGAACAGCGTTTTCGAATATGTTCGACAGCGGAGATCCAATTTGTGTTTCTAAACTTAAACAGCAAACAATATTAGGTAAGACTCTTTTTAGTACAACACAGTATTTAACTTCAAAATCGTGCCAAAGCAAAACTGGTCTGGCTTCCAGCAAAGCAGTAATTCTCACACAAAGTGACACCGTTTCATGTATTGGTTACATAAAAAGCCGTAGGGAAATAACTTCTTGTTTTCAAGACCCGGCAGTGCCGTAAAATTTAGCTGCTAACTTGTCCTTTTATTTTACTTGTAGAACTAGACGAATTCGGTGTCAAAGCTTCCGCAGTGACCGGCTTGAATACAGAATATTCGAGCGCCAACGAACCAGATTTTGTGGCCAACAGACCATTCTTATTGATAATTTGGGATGAAATGACCAACATCCCCAAGTTTATAGCGCGTATCACAAATCCCAACGCTTAATAGATGACAGTTCATTCGAAGTTGTCGGGCAACCATTTTGGAACAACGTGTTTCCGCCGCTTTTCGAAGTGACCTGCATTTTGCAATTGTTTCTTTAGCGGGGCCGCTTTACAATAAAATATGGACTGGACCATATGCGGAACGTTTCCTACAGCAGATTGCGTGAACAGAAAATGTGCCCATGACTCAAATGTGATACGGTTAAATGGCCGTAGTGCGAGCAATATTTTAACGTGGGCGAAAGTAGTTTATGCCTGTTTTCTACTTTATGGTGATTCCTTCGTTGGTGTTTACCGTACGTACAGACAACAGCAGCAGTACATGTGAATTATACTCATACAATGCAGAATTTAATGTCCTTTACGTTGAAAATGACATACTGCTAACGCAGACCGGATTGTCTATACAAAATTCGACTCTTATAAGTGTGGACTGTGGAGAGTGGTCGCGGGAAGCATTTGAAAAGGACCAAGAAATATGGTCGTTTCTTGGCTTGGCTTTGTTTGAACTGAGCAGCTGTGCACTCATTGTCAGATCCATTTTCGCCTCTTCGGGGTCGCGTGCCAGTTGCCATGCTCTACTATATCTGTATTATTTACTGGATTGAAGGTTCTGATCCATAATGCATTGTTCTCCAACCGGACTTTTCTGAAATGTGGGTTACATACTCATTAACTAAATGCCTGCTTCAGATTTCAGAACGTTTGGTGGCCTTTTCAGTTTTCAAAATGCCTTCATATACTGTACTTAATTAAACACGAAAATGGTGTGTCTCTGTATTCACATGTATTGCAATAAGTGAGCACGTCATCATTAATTTTGAAAACTCAAAGTGATCGTATGGTTGCAGTGTGGACTGTGTCACTTTGGAGTGGGGGCATGTCCTGCCCAGCTTGTTTGATCACGAACTCGCAGTTTTACTACCCGTTCACATTTTGGCCGATAGTTTAGTTTCTTCAGGATCTCCTGATGTTTCAGCTTCTTGAAGAATGCCGAAGCGACGCCGATCACTCAGTCCAGAGCTTGATGTTTATATTTCTCGGACCGCTCTTACTGAGGAATTTCTGTGCGGAATGCGTGAGCTGCAGGAGACGGGGACCTTCTGTGACGTTGTCTTGAAGGGCACTGGAGAATCTTCCGTCGGCATTCCCTGTCATCGCAATGTGCTCACCGTGCACAGCGCCTACTTTCGGGCGGCCTTCACGCAGGACTGGAAGGAATCCACCCAGCAAGTCTATCAGCTGCACAACATCGACAGCCAAACATTGAAGGAGTAAGGAGCACTAGTAACGGCAGGCATGCATGCGATTGAAGGATGCCGGGTGGGGCGGCCAGATGAAGGGCGGGGGGTTGAATTTTTCGCAGATCTTCATAGTTTTTTTCGGTTTTAAAACTACAGTAATATTTTACTCTTCATCAAGTGTACATTTGAAACTTATTCATTCGTCTGTTTACATTTCACTTGATTTCTTACTGCTTCAAAACAGACGATAGTGGAAATTAAATTTTAAAAAATTTGTTTTATATTTTCAAATTCGTTGTAAATGTTTTCATTTTTGAATAAAGTCAGCCTATTCAGCCTGATGACATAAGGTTGATATACAAGTAATAATTAATAATATTATTATTGCTTTTGGATTTTTTGTATGCGAGGATCTAATTAAATTGGGCTTGCCATCTTGCTTACACTTTTCTGGTGTCCTTCGATTCTGGTAATCGTAATTTGTAATCATAGCTGACTGGGTTGTGGGTGGCCTTGCATCCTTTTCCAACCTGAACAGTCGTTAGCTCCTTTGAAGCGCTAAATGAGCCATTCGAGCTGATATCAGTACAATTATAGTAATACTTGCTTCGATATCCACATTTTACGAGTAACAGGAGCTGCGCTCCTTCTCAGAAATCGTAGGACTATTTTGCATAACTCCATGGTTTTGGTCTCCGGTCACAATTACGCAGTTCTGTGCTCATTCTTGGTCCACTGTCCAGGTTGGTGGGGTTTGCCTACACGCTGGACATCAGCCTCAACGGTGACAATGTGGAGCGTATCTTGATTGCGGCGCAGTTCTTGCAAATAACGCCCGTGGCCCGCATGTGTTGGGACTACGTGGAGAAGCACCTGCATCTCTCCAACTGCCTGACGGTCCACGCTCTGGCCACTAACTACCACAACCCTAATGTGGTCGAGACAGCCCTGAGCTTCATCCGTCGGCACTTCCTGGAATTTGTGGAAGGTGAAGACTTTCTGCAAATGGACGCGCAACAGGTACAATCTGTGATGTTGTGCGTCACAGAAACACTACACAGTGGCCCGATGCGGCTCGGTTGGTTGAGCAGTATGTACAAAAACAAATGTTCAGGCCAAATTCCAGCGTTTGAGCGTTCCTTGTGAAAATTCTATAGTGTAGTTGGGCGTTTCTACTCAGGCATGTGGTTAAACTGAGTTCATTGCAGCTGGTTAACGTGGTGACATCTGATGAACTGGACGTGCCAAGCGAGGATCAAATGTTCCAGGCGGTGATGCGCTGGCTGGAATTCGACCGGCCCGGCAGACTGCCGCATTTGCACATGCTACTGGGGGCTGTCCGTGTGTCCTTTCTGAGTGTCCAGTGCCAGCAAGACTACGCTTTGGCCCTGACCAGCGCGTCGATGGCGTTGCCGCAGGGCCCGCCTGAATCGGTCGGGGAATTAACTGGCGGAGAGACGGAAAACATCATCCCACGACAGTCCTACAGTAAGGATATCATGTGATACACTTGTAGGTAGTGATAGTCAGAATACAACTTTTAGTAGTCTACAACAATTTCGGGTATTATATTTGTCTCCAAGACGGATAACTTTGAGCATAGAAATAGGAGCGGGGATTACCGCATATAAGGTTGCCTAAGTACATGCGGTGCGACTCCGTTGTGTTTGGACATCATGCCGCTGCTTACATTTATAGGATTTAGGCCCGCCACATACAGAGTAGCACCAAATTCATGTACATCCTCGGAAACTTTCGCTGTCGCGCACTCCCAAACACTTTTCTGCATTGTTTCATTATATTTTTGTAGCCAGAATATTTGTATACGAGGTGGGAACAAGCATCTTCGGTAGCGCGTTCGAATAGTCGAGACACTTTGAACACTGCGCGTCAAGTGGTGCGACAGCATGATTCACTTAACAGCCACCCGTGGAATGATGCCCATCTGCGTGAACCTCACCGTCAACCGTGGATGGGTGCCTTGATTGACGGTGGCCAAGTTAAACGTGGATTGCCAGCCTTCCGCGGTTGACTGTTAAGCCAGATTTGCAGCCACACGAGTGTTCAAAGTGTCTTGACTATTCGAACGCGCTACCGAAGATGCTTGTTCCCTCCTCGTACTGTGGATGGGGGTGAAATCCGTTTGCGCGCGCGACATCCGGTTGAAAAGTTATGGGTGAATCAAAATTTCAAAAATTTAAATGCATTCAGGTGTGCCAAAAAGTCTCGATCGTCCTCAAATTTTGCATGTAAACCCACATAACCATGAAGATCGTTCTTACCAGACCTGTTACTCTTACACTGATTCACTGTTCTAGCACGTTCTTCAAATTTTAAAGCTCATTTGAAAATTTGAAAGATCCGTGTAAGAATGATCTTCATGTGTATATGCATTTACCTTACATGCAAAATTTGAAGAAAATCGGTTTATAATGACACTTTGGCACACTTGAATGCATGTATACTTTTTGGAATTTTGATTCTTTCATGACTTTCCAACCGGATGTCACGCGCGCAATCGGATTTCACGCCTACGTGTACATACTTTTGGCTATGTGAGGAGAGAAGCGGCTCATGTACAGCGATAAAGTCTTTCAAGGGATTTCAACGTACTGCGCCGTGGTGCAGTGGTACTGCCTACGTGGATCTAACGACGTAGCCGGGGTTCGATTCCCCCATCGGTGCATTTTTCGGCCGTTTCTCCGTTTCCAGTGGATGGCGCCCTGCTTAGAGCTACAAAGTATCTTGACCCAATGCAAAAAAGTGTTTTTGAGTGCGCGACAGCAAAAGTTCTCGTGGATTTGCGCGAATTTACTCGTAGTTAGCTCTATGAACCGGGCCTACATTTATTTTAGGCACGCTTTATTTTATTCTAATTTTTCTAATCCCACTAATCTCAAGTCTCAAGATAAGATCTAGAGAGCAGCCAAAGCTAGTACCGAGCACCGCTCCCTTTAAAAAATCGCTTAGTGTTGCCTGAATTGTAACAGGTGCGGAGGAGGTGATCCTCTGTGTGGGTGGACGTGGTCAGGATAACCAGCCCTGCGTGGCCGCTACTGTGGACGTCTTCAGCCCGTCGATACCGGCAGTGTGGCGGCTGAATAAACTGCGCAATGGGGTCTGTGGCGCCGTCGTTATGCGTGACTCCAGTTCACTGGTAATCTTCGTAGCTAGCGGCGTCAGGACAGTACAGCGCAACAGCCGCTACACGGACCTCTGTAACGAGTGGCGCCGGCTGGCCCCCTTGGGGATAGCACGCTATTCGGAAGGTTATGCCACACTGAATGATCGCATTTACGTGGCGGGCGGTTATGGTGTTCGCGGCGCGGCGGCGCATCCACTGACATCCGTGGAAGTATACGACCCGAATGACGATTCATGGAGCGCGGTTGCCTCGCTGCCTGTTCGCCGTGCCTCCTTGGCGTTGGTAGCGTGTGACGGCCGACTGTATGCCTTCGGAGGAGAAAACGGCGCGCGCCGGTGCCGTGCGGCTTTCTGTTATGATCCATCGACAAACTCCTGGAGCAGACTGGCTAATATGCCGACCGCCCGCAGTTACTGCGTTGCTTGTCTGGCTCCCAGTGGATTAATTTACGTAGTCGGTACGTGAGCGTAATAAGCATTAAGGTTCCCTGGTGTCAGAGACCGCACACTCGTGGCGGCTGGCGCCTCTCGTGGCTTGCTCTGTCGCCCGCATGCAGGTGACCACGCCACTCGTGCCGCTTATACTGCGCGCTTACCCAGCGCGCACTTTGTCTGCGCTGGCCAATCGGCAGCTGTTGCACTCGTGATGGGCGGAGCCTTTTGCGCACGAGCTTTCACACAGCGCTGTACGGCACAGCTGTTACAGAGCATGATGCCGCCTCGTCAGTCACTCTCCAGCATCGACGCAGTGCACCAGTAGTGTTGGGTCGGCCCGGCCCGGCCCGGCGCGGCCCGGCCCGAGCAAGAGGGCCGGGCCGTCGTTTGCACGGCCCGGGCCGCGGGCCGATCCGGGCTGCGGCCCGACATGTCACCGGGCCGCGGCCCGGGCCGTCTTGCAGCACAGTAATATTTCATTCCAGGATGTCATTATGCAAGCGCTACAGCGGGTATGTCAACGGAAAAATAGACGGATTTTCGCCTAGAAACGTTTAATGCTACGAAAATTAAGAAAAACTCATCGAAAACTACGAAATTTCAGTAAATCCCAATGAAATTTTTTGTTTTTCTGCGTCTTTTTCCATATTTAACGTTTACAGCGGGCAACGGCCCGGGCCGAGGGCCGCGGCCCGGCGCGGCCCTCCCAAAAGGGCCGGGCCGAGGTCGGCCCGGGCCGTTCGGGCCGCGGCCCTGGGCCGGGCCGGCCCAACACTATGCACCAGCTATCCTGGCCGCATAGACTTTGTGGTTTTTGTGTTGGTTCGCTGTATGTTTTTGGGGCATTTCATCACTTTGTTGTCACATTATTCCAATAAAGTGTGTGCGTTTGCTCCCCTTTGCTGTCATATCTGGCACTGGGGACACACCACCTGTTTTATATGCAAGCTTGTCCCGTAATTTCTGTCGTAGAAGTACAAATAGCATGTGTTTAACGTAAACTGCTTTGCACTATAAAATGAAGGCTACTACACTACGTCTACCACAATAAAGTTAGCGCCTTTCAGTACTTAAGGTTGGTATGAAGGGTAAAGGTCGTGTTTATGAGTTATATGGATAGTTTCTGCCTTTGATCGATATTGCGCATGTTTCAGTTATGCTAAATGCTTGTACGGAGTACAGTTGAGCGTAATTAGTGTGGCGTGTATGACGTACAATGAAAGCGCATCCGCATCCACCTTCCTTGCCGAAAATCCGGCACATTCGTGGATCGCGCGCGCCGTTTTATGGGGTTTGGCGTAACCCTGAATTTGTAAAAGTGTCGCAGTGCTGATGCGAAAGAAATTAAGGTACAACGTTTACGGTTGTAGTGGTTTGCCCCGGGACTACACTAATCCCTTAATAAGAATTCTATGGAGAACTACAGTAATCTCATCAGCAGCGCTACACGGTTCTGCATCTGCTGAAGCTACTGTTTTCGCGGACGCATTTCGGCAACCATGCATGTTTGTATGTACTTCATGAGTGCACATTCATGCATGCGCGCAGTCCGCGCACTGCTATTTGATTCCGATCAGTTTCATTTAATTCGCTTCAGAAAAGGTGGCCTATTTGGCTATTTCCTGGCAGCAAGACAGTCTAGCGTGGAATTTTAAACCTGGCTAAAAGAAATATATTAGAAAATAATGTGAACTGAAAGAAACGAGAAATCCTTATAGGATACCGGCACCGCTCGTATCTGAGAAAACCAAGGGCCCTGTCAAACTAAGACACACGTCACCGGCTCAAAAAAAGCCAACACTGTACAACGAAGCTTTAACGTACTGTAGCTAAAGGAAGTCATGGGTATTACTTCCGCCACGGCTGATGTTACCTATCGTAAGCAGGGCATAGCCAATTGTCACAGTTGTATTCTTACGATAAATTTCGTAGGTGGAATTGGACAAGGTCGGGGTCGCTGTGTGGAGGCGTACGACCGCGCAACAAATCGGTGGATAAGGAAAGGTAAGGCTGTTTGAGTTGTAGAACACCGTGCAAGGCGTAAAGCTGTATATTTGCATGGAAGACATGGTATCAATAGCGCTTTGTAACCGTAGGGGATCTGGTCCATCCGCGCAGTAACCCCGGATGTGCTTGCGTGAACGGCAAGCTGTACGTTCTGGGTGGGCACCATCACGAAGAGCTGAACAGCCATGACAGCATCGAAGTGTACGACGAGGACGCGGACCGCTGGGCGTTGCATGAATGCCGCTTGCCGCAGGCCCGATACGCCTTTGGCTGTGTGGTGATGAAAGTGAAGCGCGAGTGAGACGCACACGACCTGCGGCTCGTCGGTTGAAGGCATTGCGTACCTGCTGCTCTTTCGTAGGATATGCGAATATGTCCGCGCTGGGTCTACGCGGTCGTCTGGGAGGAGAACGCGTGCAGGTTTCCTGATTTTTTAGCCTACATTTTGTTAATGTACTTTTTTGTCTTGGCAGACGTAATTGTTAGGATTGGCTAATGTTTTTGAAATGTACCATAGTTCCTTTTTTCTTTCATAAGAATGCTAAATTACCGATCAAAAACAGTTTATCACAATAGCAAAGTTCATTAAACACTGCCACTTCATTCATTGTTCCGCAGAATCGGAGTAGAAAGTTTTCGAAGCGCTCTGCAATCTGCTTCTTTTCGGCGGTTGAAAACAACAACACTAAAAGTTGCTCTGTAATAAATTAATCAACATGATGACATGAATCGGCTTTTCATTGAATCGGCTTGATGGGTGTTGTTACAAAGAACTTTTTGAATTGAATGACATCACATTTAGGTTCCCCAGATCACTTAGCCTGGTGGAGACTTCCTACTGATGTCTCAGGTTAACAAAAATGCTAAAACAAACTTGAGTTACAGAAAACAAAAACCATACAGGAAACATAAAAAAATTAGAAATAATTAATTACAGTAAGAAAAAATAATCAGACGCGCCAGTCCAAAGTTGGCAGTAAATCCAGGTGAGCGTGATGTACATTTTGAGCATCTCTGAAGATAAAGTGTATATCATGGGTAAAACGTCTATCAACGTTATGGGAAATGGCTCGAGAACGATCAAAATTTAGAAAACGAGGAGGGAAAACCACGCTGAAATATATGCATATACCGCAACGATGCGCCGGCTTCAATCTCTGTAATAAGCGTCCAGTGCGGCAAAGGTCAACTTGTTCAGTCGTGACACGTCCAGCTGCCGCAAATCCACTTGATCCCAGGATTGTGGGATGTCACTGGCGCGAATGCTGTTGAACCTGTTCAACACGAAACCCATGCATTCAAAACAAACCAGCACCATGTATCCGAATTAGGTATACTAGCCATACTTACATCCGGAGAAAGCCACGAATCACCATCCACTGTTCAGGATAGGCCAATGTCTGCACCCACCGTGCATGCATCGCGGTGACCTTTTCCAACACCCGCTGTGTAACCGCCGGACAAGCGTCGTTGGCAGCTGCTAAAAAGCGTCGACACTGTTCCGCGGCTGTCTCAGTGCAAGGAAAGCGCATCAACGGGAGATCCACAATATCCAGCTCCCCGTTATCGAAACCAAACGCAAAAGCGCTCTGGCTTGGCGGCCATATCGTTCCTGTATCGCGCATCCACTCCCACAGAGACATACGACCAGCCCCATCGGAGACGGTATATTTGACCAGCCACAGCTCGTCACACACCGCCATCCACCGACGCGCTGATGCAAGCGTCGGGGATGCACAATTCCCATTTGGATCGACTGCACCCAACCTGAAGAAGGGGATACCCACACATGAACGGTCTCTGCTGCCCTTTTTTATAATGAGCACTGGCAAGCGACGATTTTTATTTTCTGTTACATCACAGATCCGCTGCATTCGGGATGCAAAATTGTCAACACGGCACAAATTCTCGCGTTCATGATACGTTCTATCATTCACCAGCACCACTGCTCGTGTGTGCTGCGACAGGCCACGTTCCAGCATCGCTGAGAATTTATATCCTTCATTTGCGCTACATTCCGCAGTTACGAAGTGTTCACCCTCTTCTGTTATGATCGGCGGGCCGACGATGAAAATCATGTGACGATTGCTAACAGGTTCTTGCAGCACTAGTCTCCACAACGCACACACTCTACAAGCGACAATTAGTGTGTGCAGTTGTTAATGGTAAAACAATCATATGACCATTGAAGCGAAAATTAAATTAGGTTGTTAATGATAGTTCTTTACTTCTGTGACTGTTACGGCGTTACCCATGAGATTATGTTGTTGCGAGTACAGTACTTCAGTGTTTGTCTTTTTGATGAGATCAAACCAGACGGTAAAGCGGCAGTTCGTGGAAAACAGTTTTGAACAGTTAATATACGTATGTAGCTTGTACCACAGTTTCACCTGACTTACTGGCCTGCCCGTAACTGAGTAAAAACATCCATATTCCACAAAACAAAGCCAACGACTGCAACCGACAGATCCTGGATTCGCATTTCTTCTGGTGCTGTAATCAACATTTCGGTGTTAGCGAAAAGGGCAACAGCAATTTCCATGCTTTTTCCATACAGTTTCCATACTTCCTTCAGCAGCCGTAATTCCCATGCTTGTGCAGCTGTCACCCATACCATGCTGGAAGTGCCCTGCCGCAGTCATAGTAGCAACTGTTGGGGTGAATTCGTAAAACCTTTGTTCGGAAATGGAACGCTGACACACTGCCTTCAAGGAGTCCGCGGTCCAGAATATGCTGTACCCGGCGGTGTCCGCTTGCACTTCGGCGCAAATAAACGTCACCGTGGTAGCCGCCGCTCGCGCGAACACACGAATACAATACCAATACTGATCACCTGTTCGAATATGCTCTCCCCAGCAGCGAAAGTGGAACAAAGTTCCTGCGTACCCGTTCACACGAAATGGACAGCAGGCATTGCACACACGGTTACCAGGAGCCCATGCTAACTGACACGCATCAACCAGGAGCCTGGGTAAAAACCTCACGTCTCGCAACCCATGCGCCTGCCCCAAATCGACAATGTGTTTCCGGTAAACGAATCCGTTAGCCTTTCCGAAGAAGCTCGGCTCGCCGTCCGCGGCCGGTAGCTGTACGGTGAGCTGCCGTACCGGCACGATGCGACGGTCAGGTGAATCATTAAACCGAACAGCACAGAACATGCAGTGCAAGTCCTCTAAAATCGTGGCGGGTCGGAAGACCAGAGGCCCACCGTCCTCGTCCCGCAGCGCCACATGCGCGGAAATTCCAAGCAGATTGTGTCGCGTAAGATCATAGACAAAATAATGCGGCCACAGCTCTTTACAATGTATCCACTGCGCACTGATCGTGGTAGCGTCGAAGTCAACGAAGAACCGATCGCCGTCAATATCCTGAACATATCCCATCCACCATTGACCGTTGTCGCGGTGCACCAGCACCGTGTTTCCAAAGTTAACTACGGACTTCTCGGAGTGCCATTCTCGAAAGTAGCGTAAGGTGGTCAGCATGTTGGTGAATGATTGACAGAAAGACCCGTAAAGGTGTATTCCATTCCACTCAATCAGATGGTGTACTGTTTATTTCGACGGTTCCGACTCTACTTACTCTACTTTAATGTAGCAGAAATGATAGGGCATACCAAAAGTATAAAGAGAAGTAAGATCAACTTCACTTCTTACCGCGACGAACTCTAAGTAATAAAGTTTACGAAAAGCCGGGATAAAGTAAACTTAAGCCGGGATAATAATGAAACCAAACCAACGGGAAAATATTTTCAGTTTTTGGCGATGAAGACTGTAAGGGCGGGACGCTCCGCCCTCCTGAGTAGCTATTCGCTGTTTCTGGGGATTTCCACCCCGCACATTTCTGCGCTGTTTTGACGGATCTGCAGCACAGTTGCACTGGCTGCAGAATCCTTCCTCGTTAGTCTGGTGTTGTTGCGCCACGGTGCGCATTAGATTCGGCAATAAAGCCTCATCCGGGTTCCCCGCAGTTTCGCTGTCGAGGATGCGCGTGGCGCTCATACGGCCCCGCGTTATAAGACGTTGTTCGTAAAACCACTAAATAGTGGGCTAATTAATCACTGCTTGTTCAAGCAAAATGGAGTGTCAGAGATGTGATTAATTTTCCATCAGGGGGATGGAAGTTCCAAATCGGTGTTCCAGTCAACTTACTTGCATGGATTTGGGAAAGAGTTTAGACAAGGTATAAATATTATTCCTTCGGGCTTTCCAATGGAATCCATAATTAAAATGCCGGTATTAGGATTCATTATATACGGAATAACTATAAGCACTTTTCTTCCAGTAGCTGTTGCATTTTTTTTGCGATAACGTCAACAAATTCCAATTGACAGCATATTATTTGTCCGCCCTGTGACGTAGCTTTCCCCAATGAGCCGATCCATTCTTCACTGCAACCGCTGTAGTCTGTACAGAGTAGTACTTACATAAATTATTGTAATTACTAGTAGTAATAATATCGTTTCTCTGATTAGTCGTAAATTAGTCGTTTCTATGATTTAAGAAATTTTAAAGGGACTTAATTTTAAAAGGACTTTTAGTTTAAAAGTGCAACGCAAATCCATTTATTAGTTTAGTACGAGTAATTATGCACTGACCTAGCACTTATACAATATAGACGCAGCACCATTGTGGTTGTGATTTAATAATACATAACATGAAAGTTCCAGTAGCGCGTTCTACTCTATTTTAAAGGTGCCGCTCATCCAGATACACGTTGAAAGCCATCCCAGGGTTATTGAAACTTTCTGGTCAGTTCGTTACGTAGCTGCCGGCCAAAGGTTTCCGCTTTAAGCAGACGCCAAAACTGTAATATTGAACAGTTTTTGGAGTTGCCAAACACGTAATCCAATGTAGCAAAGCTATTTATCGCAAATATCGTTGTAAAATTTATAAGAAGCTGACGATACAGTTTCATTATCAGTATGGGGATTTTAAAGGATGTGCGTTAACAGAATTAAATGGTAGACTTAACAGTTACAAATCACCAGAACCATTTAACATCACGTACGCTGACCCTCTTACTTTGACACCGCTACAGGAGGGCAGATGTTACCCTATCGTAATTTCCGAATTAGAAGGCCTTGGTTTATACATTTTCAACTGGGCCCGGAAGGAGGCTTATACCGCAGAAGAGGTGCTATTGGAGAGGGGGCTCTCAAATTAAAGCTTTTAAACTAGGCGCAGATGAGTTAATGAACGAGGGCGACTAGTTTCGAGTCAACGGTACATCGGTCCTCTTCCGGCGTTGTGTTTTCCCCTGGTACAACATACTGCGCAGTTATGAAACCAGGTAAAAGTTGCACACTGGTTTTAGAGAATCAGCGAATATGGTTTGTCTTGCAGCTAGGATTTCTGTGCGAAATCAGGCCCCAGAAATTCCACGACCTAGCAGCTGGCGCAGTCTATGTACGTACGCAGATGCTATGTTGTAGTAAAGTCTGCTAAAGTGCAGCTCTTGGGCTGCTAATACAAGTACAACTATTTGTGGTATAGGCCATGGCAACGGATTGTTGTTGTTGTTTTGTTATGACTGTAAGATCAGTCAATGCAGCGCGCTAGCGAGAAGTGGTATTAAAGACTTTACAGTGGCGTGA